TCAGTTTAAAAATTTTTGGGATGACATGGGAATAGAACGTCAATTAACTATTTCAAGAACTCCGTAACATAATGGTATTGTAGAAAGAAGAAACATAACCCTACTTGAAATGGTGAAGTCTATGGTGGCACAAGCAAATTTTCCCATTACCTTTTGGGGTGATACCTTATTGACTACCACCTACATACTCAACCGAGTACCCTCCAAATCTGTTACTACTACACCATATGAGTTATGGACAAATTGGAAACCCAATTTGAATCTCCTAAAACCATGGGGATGTGTTGCCTATGTTCATGACCCTTCCTGTAAATATGGAAAATTTGGTCCAAGGGGGAAGAAATGTATCTTTATAAGATACTCAGAACATTCAAAGGGCTACGTCTTCATTAGAGAACAAAAAAGTGGTAACATCACTGAGTTTGAATAATGAGATGTCACATTCTTAGAAACCGAATTTCCTAAAAAAGGCGAGACAGTTCAAGACTTGTTTCTATATGAAACACAAGACCAAGGCAATCCCGCTGTTGAAAACCACTTGGTTATACTTGTAAGTAACTAACCAGATTCGCGCAGCGAAAAAACATACTATTTAAAACGAATTGATCAATTACACGAACCAAGATCCGAGTACAGATTATAACGTTTTCATGCATGAATTGAAACGTAAAATAAGATTGTATTAAAAACAAATCCATACAAGGATTTAGTTCATACCGACGTTTGGAGGTCCTCTGAATATCTTTGATTTCGGACACGAACACTGTTCATGGTCCACTGTTCACATGATTCTTCGCTAATCGATCCAATGTAGGATTGCACTCACAGAAGTCCACACGAAGATAATCCGAAGAACCGACAATTGTTTTGCTAGAACAATTGCTGGCATCAAGAACAATCAAAATTGAAAAATTTTCTTCTTCATTTGAAGAAGAAAACATAAGAGACAGAGAACCTTTGGGTGGCTAATGAATAATTCTACTTGTTTTAATTTTAAGTTGCACTTATATAGTGCAACAATTAAAACACTATTCCACTTAGGAATAGCCTTGGGCTCCAACCCTAGTTCACCCTTGTAACCAAACACACCCTTTATGGTATTTTAATTAATCAATTATTATTATTATTAAAATCAGTTAATATATAATAATATATTAACATTTAATTAATAATAATAATTCATTTAAATATATACATAGATATATTTAAATATAATCTCGCTAATTTAATTTTAATATTAAAATTAAATACAGGCAACAATCTCAGCAAATTTAATTGCACTATGAGATTACCAAAATACCTTTTTATCCCAAAAGATGAAAATGCCCTTCTCGCAAATTGATTCTTAAATTACCTTCTAAGTGTGTAACCCGTAGGCTCTTCATCATGTCGGCAGTGTGTAGCATGGCGATTAACAGCAATTAATCATCTAACTATGCACAGATCAAAATTAGCCCTTGGCAAGGCATCATGACCACCCAATGGATTCGGATTCAGTGAAACCATAGCCTGTCAATGATATGGTTACGGTGCAATCAAATCCTTTCATCAACTATTATTTCGTCGACACTGAGGTACATAAATAGTGTCAACCTGAGATATCCTTGACATGGTTGTATTCAGTTACTGCACCAATGACAGGAAGATTGAATTGGATTGAGCAACAACTCAATCCCACTGTGGCCACAAATTTATTGTCATTGCCATTTACTGAATTACCCAGTGAGATAACTTCTCCTGTACTCGGGTGTAATGACTTCTTTCTAATAGTATATTTTATAACATATACTATGAAAACATACATAATTAGCATATGAAAATGTAATTCTTTACATATATCAAAATAACAAGTACAAAAATTTAGCAACAATGGACAGTAATGCCAATTCTCTCTGCTTGTCGACGTCCTTCCCACTGCTGCTCACCTATTTCCTGCAAAAACATGGAAAAACAACGGGGTGAGCATAAAAATGCTCAGTAAGTAAATCCCTTAACTTTTCTTCTTCTTTGATTCTTTCCTTACTTAATTCTATTCTTCTTTCTTTCTCTATTTCTAATTCTCACTATTCTTTTCTTTCTTTCTAATTCTGTCTGTTTCTTTCTTTCTTTCTTACTCTTTCCATTCTTTCTCTTCTTGCTACTCTTCTATTCTTTCTAACCATAATAAAATTCATGGGAATATGCATAAATGTAATGCATATGCAATAATGCATAAAAATGCATTTTATTTATTCTTTCTATTTCTTTTCTTTTCTTTTCTAGTCTATTCTGTTCTATTCTTTTCTTCTCTATTCTTTTCTTTTCTTTGCTTGTTCAAGCTTTCTCATTCTTTCTTATTCTTTCTTTTCTTATTCTTTTCTTTTCTTATTCCTTCTTTTCTTATTCTTTGCCGATCAGACTTGGTTGATGTATGGATTCGAAACCTTGGCCGTGTGAGTGAGTACAGTCCTCATCTACATGCACTCTTGCGGACCGTACACATTCTTCTTTCTTCTTAGGCCACTCAATTAAGGTGACGTGCATGTAGGAATTCTTCTTGGTACAACCCTCATCCACATACACTCTTACGAGTCGTACAATTCTTCTTCTTCTTATGCCACTCAATTAAGGTGACGTGTATGTGGGAATTTCTTCTTAACACTCACGGTTCCCCATCACACCAACCTATTCTTTTCTCTTCTTTAACACTTTTTATTTCTTTAATTCTTTAATGCTTTTTCTTTCTTTCTCTTTATTCTTATAATGTTTTATTCTTTCTTTCTTTATAACTACAAGAAATATATTATATTGTGACAAAATTAATTTTGTCAAATGTTATTTTGTCACAAGTAATACAGGTATTATGACAAAATAAATAAACATCACATTAAGTATGACAAAGAGAATATACCGTGACTAAAAAATATATTGTCAAAATATTTTATCACAATAAAGAACCCCATAAGAAATATAGTGAAGAAAAACATTTTTATCATAATATTTCATCACAAATTTTTGGCGCCAAATTTTGGCGTCTAGGTAAATTGTTTATTGTGACAAACATATTTTGTCATAATACATTTTTGTCACTAAATTTAGTTATACATGCTATACCTACAAATTATTTTGTCACAAAAGAATTTATTTATTATTACAAAAAAAATTGTCATAATATATGCTAAAATATAGGTATTAATAACAAAATATTTTAGTCAAATTAAATGTGATATTTTGTGACAAAAATTTGCTAAAAAAACATAATTAATATTGGTACAACTATTTTTCATTCCTCTTAAGTTTTCAGTAATAACATATATGTCTTTAAAAAGAAAAAACTCATTCATAATTTTAGCATATATGTCACAAAAAAAAAAAAAAAAAAACTCATTAACATATAGGATCAAGTACGAGGTCAAGGGCTAGGAAATTTGGTTGGGATCGGGGGGTGACAGGGGCTAGATCAAAGAAATTTGCTAAAATAAATTACCAACAAATTAGCGATGAAAAAAAAAAACCTGTTTGTAAAATCATAGCAACGCATTTCAATCCGTTGCAAATATTTGTTCCCAAATTTCAGCTCCTAATCCGTTGTTAAATTATTACTTTTATTTTTATTTTTTACTTTTTATTTCTAAGAACTTGAGAAGGCCAAAAAATTGTAAAAAATACAAAATCATTTATAATTTTATAAATGTAAATATTACGTACCATTTTTGGCTTTAATGATACAAGAATACAAATCAAATTCAAACTGAATAAAATTCATAAACTGCTAATGCATACTCTACTTACAACTTGTATTAGCAGCAAACAAAGGCCGATCCATAGAGACTAGTTAAGCATATTACCTAACTTAAGATCATAGCAAATGAATGAAAAATGGGTGCGGTGCGGTTAGAGCCGGCAGTGGGCTATACCATGCATAAAAATTCAAGGCTCATCACGTCATGGGTCATGCCGTGCCTAGGTCTGCAAAAATTCGTGCCCTATTGTGCTGTGCTAGCCCACCAAATTTGAAGGCTTCCAGCACAGCTCGCTATATATCGTGTCGTGTCTTGGACCGTGTCGTGGGTCTATCAGTCCACGTTCTTTGTAAAAATATTTAATTTTAATATTTATAAATTATGATAATTTCGATTTATTATTATAAAAATATTTTCTATATTATATGTAGTGACATTTTGTATTTATATTAATTAAAAAATATATAATCACTATGAAATATAATAAAATAACGAGACATTGAAATATAATTGAATTTCAACACTTTTTATTATTTATAATTATAAATTACAAATACAAATTTATAAATTAGGATTAGTAATTATTATACATTTTCATTTTAATTAATTTTTAAATTCTTAAAATCTTAAAATCTTTGAATATATCTGCAAAGGCTTTTAAGTTCGAATGGGCTCGCGTATTTGCATTACCCAAAATCCCTAAGTCACTCATTCTATTCTTCACATTCCAAATCGCAGCACCTTGTCTAGGGCTCATTCATCTGATCTTAGCAAAACTAATTATCTTTGCATTCTTCACCTATTCAAGCATTCCAGTCGAAGAAATCTGATTTCGTCTGTCATTCAAGAGGATTAGCCAAGCGATTTCTTCTCATCTCTCAACTATCGAGTAGCCGCTACTTTGATACAATCAGACCAATACTTCGAAGTTTGAGACTGAGTTTGCCTTTTGTCATCTCCATTCGTTTGTATCTCGTCTGAGTTGACTTCTAAGTTGTGAATGGTGAGTTGTTGGGTTGGTTTCAAACTTTCAATTTCTTCATTCACCATTCATTTCAAAGTTAGAAAATAGAAATTTTAAAGCCAAAGAAATGTGTTTACTAGCTGTTTATAAATATTAGCCGAAATGGGTAAGAAAAAGATAGTTGACAAAGCTCTATTCTACTTTACTTTTCCCATTTGATACTTGCTGACTTGGAATTTTGAAGTCAAATTTCTTGATTTGATGGCTTCTCGCTTAAAAACTTGTGAATCCAAGTTTCAATAAAAGCCATAAAACTCAATTTTATTGTTATCTTTTCAGATGTTGGTTTGAAGTGTTGGCATAGCTTCAAAGAGCTTAATATTTTTGTTTTTTGGGCTTCGATTCTGAAGTCAGATATCTATATAGATATTTTTAAATGTTTTGTGTGCATTAACTTGTTCTGATTACTGTGGTGCAGGTTGATGCTCTTCAAGATGTTTGATCTAACTTGACACAGAGTTGCAAGTTCTTTTTTATAAAGTTTTGGAGGATTTGGATGCACATCTTTATAATAAGGGTGAATATAGGTATTCAATCATCTTGGGGATCAAACTTCTAACTATAATATTTGCTTTAAAATCCTAATTAATTGATTTGAACCACCTAACTATATGTTATTGAGTTTGAAAGGCAGGGAAAAATATTCATGTGCTATTAAAATTTTGCAGTATAAATGGCATCAAGTTCTAATCCCACCCTCACTGCCACCCAACCTGAGGTGTCCTCAGAACTGCAACGGAGGGGTAAGTCGATTGCAATGGATAGTGATATTGAGGACTTAGAGACATGGTCCACCACTCCCAATGAAACTGTTGAAACCATTGCAACTGTTGGTAATGAAGAGGGTGACATTAATCCATTTGCAAGAAAAAAGAGAGCTAAGATGTCAGTGGTGTGGAATGATTTTAAGGAAGTTCATTGAACGAAATTTCTTTTATTAAAATATTAATAACTTTTCGTTGTTGTATTCTACATCTCTAATTACTTGCTAATTGCTAGTGCATATTCTGAGATAGATGATGAATTGTTTTCTTTTGCAGGTTTGCTTTTCTCTAAGTTTTTGTTTTGGTGGAAACAAAGGCATTGGATATGCTGCTTGGTTACACATTCTTTGATCTTGTTTTGATTGCTTTCATGCTCTGTGGAGTCCCTGCTGATGTATGGTCCATTGGTTGAATTTATATTGCTTACTGTCATCTATATGGAGGTCTTTTTTGTATTTAGCTTATTGGATTATCATATCCATATGAGCTATCTTTGAAGGGTAGCCCAGAATGAATGGCTCTTGAGGTACATCACATTGCACCAATTACTAAATTCATTTTATGTTTAATGCTATATTTTTCTTCATCACAGTTTTTTGTGCAGAAGTCTATGATGTAGAAACATGACCATCTTAATCTTACTTTCTTCATGTTTGTCTGAACTGTGGTTGAGGATATTGTTTTCTTCATGGAGGATATGCTGATTTGTGTTCATTTTTGTCTCCATATTAGTGGAGAATGTGTAAATTTATAAAAGATGCCTTTGTTGAATTATTAACATTAGATCTAAATCTAATGCCTTTGTTGAAACCTCCATTTACTGTTTTGTAAGCTTTAAAGTTGAACGTGTTAATTTATATAATGCATTGCATTCAGCCTCATATTATTTGATGTTGAATTCTCCCAATTTATGTAATAAGTGGTTTGAAAATGCATTTTGAGCTCTAATTCGAGCTCTATAAGGACTCGACTAATTATTTATGCTTATTTGTTCATGCTATTAAATTTTGTACAAAATTATTTTAGTCATTACAATTTTGACAAATATATTGTCATATAAACAAACATGTGACAAATAAATGTTGTTAGCACATAATTTTTGTCACTGTTAAAATTATGAGAAAATATTTAGTCCTATTTACAATTTTGACAAAATCAATTTTGTCATAATATATTATTTCCTCACCATAAATCTTATTATTTGGTCTTTAAATGTAAATCAATTAGACAAAATATTACTTATATTGATAAAAATTCCTTCTATTGTTACAATAATTTATCACAATAAATTAGTTTAAAGTGACATTATTATCACCAATAAATAATTAAGCTATGGTGACAAAACGCTCTTTTGTCACCATATACTTAAGAGTAAGAGCTTAATGTGACCAACCTGATGACCAATACAATTCCTCACATTAGCGAAATGGTCATAATTTTGATTTTACAGTGACGAATTATTTTATTATTAGAAGCCTAAATTCTTGTAGTGTATTCTTTATTCTTTATTCTTTATTCTTTGTTCTTTATTCTTTCTTAAGTTCTACACATACACATTATATGCATATGGATGGCTCATGCTTAAAATTTCTTACTTAAATGCACTTATGAAATGCCCATATGCAATGTTGCATAAATTAAGGCTTCTACTCAACTCATACTCTCTTTAGCTTTCATCAAACAATACTTGTGCATTAACAAACCCTAATGTAATTATCATTCTATTTTTTCTTAAACCATCCAAATTGAGAGAAAAACTCTATTGTAACATCACCATACCTACATGGCAAAACACTCCCAAAAGTTTCTCCAATTCTTCCAACTTCAACCCATCATCAAGCCATCACATACCCTCCTTGTTAGAGTAGATGCCCAGAACCAATCAATTATTGTAGAATTGACTCTTTGTAATAATGTTCATTAATCAATAATAAAAGGCATTTTATTCTATATCGCGTAAATCATTATTATTTCATATGTTGATATATGTCCTTAGAATGGTAGAACCTGACGAGGGTATCAAGTGTTTCAAATCTTGATAGTGAGAACCCTATGAGCACAGTGGTGGCCATTCTAGAAACGTCCGTAGCCCAGTATTATTCTAAGTAGGCACAGATAATACGTAAGGTTATCATAGTGTTGAACGACCGGTCGAAAGCAGTGACTGATCTCACTTGTCAAGGTTGTTTGGTGACAACCTGGTGAAACACTGGTGCTTGTTGTAGGCGGATATACCGCAGCAAGTTCACTGGACTGACCCACCAGAGGATTCCAAATGGATGGTAACCCCAGTGTCTATGGAAAAATCCTCTAACGAATGGTGGGTGCATGTGATCCTTAGACTTGAGATCACCGGAGCGCCTTGTGCACCGATTGGTACAGTTTGACACTAGCCTAACGCAGTTCTATTCGAGCTGTCAGTACGGTGGTGATTGGCTATATCAAGAGTGTATCAAGACTATGGTGGATTGACAAAGATTCATCACTCCCGGGTACGGGAGAATTTATCTCATGGCGTAATTCAGTATATGGCAATGACACTGAAACGTGGGCCACAGTGGGATTGAGTTGTTGCTCTATTCAGATTGTAATACGGTCATTGGTCCAGAAACTGAATATATAATATCGAGTGTAACCGAAGGTTGACACATTTCTTATCCTTCGTCTCGTCGAGATAATGTATGATGAAAGGATCGTATTGTACGGTACCTATCGTTGACAGGTAGCTACTTGTCTGATCCGATCTATCGGGTGGCCATGATGCCTTGCTAGGGGCCAATCTTGGTCTGTGTATTAGTGACGATTAATTGGTGTTAATCGCGATACATAACACTACCGGTATGATAGGAGCCTATGGGTCACACACATAGAATAATTTAAGAGCCAAGAAGAAAGGGCGTTTTCGTCTTTTTGGGCAAAGGGGTATTTCGGTATTTCACAGTGCAATTAAATTTGCTGAGGTCGTAGCCTTTATTTAATTTGTTAAAATAAATAAGTGAATTACAGATTACGGTTGAATGTGTGTTCGCACATATTCAAATAAATTATCATTATTGTTAAATGTTAATATATATATTAAATATATATTAATTGATTTTTAATTGAAATAATGATGAAATAAATAAAATATCTAATTTGGGAGTGTTTGGCAACATGGGGTGTTTGGGTTGGAGCCCAAGCCCATTCCATGTGGGAATAGGGCAACTTGGTTTGCCTATAAAAAGAATAGTGTTTGTGTGTTTTATTAATTAATTCATTTTGCCTTTTGAAAAAAAACACACACAGCAGCCCCTTTTTACACTCACTCCCACGCCACTTTCACCCTTTTGATTGAAAAATCAAATACTCCTTTTCTTCTTGATTTCTTAAGGCTAAGGAGGATCTAGCAAATCCCTCCTTGGTTCTTGGTGGTTGTCTTTGTGTGGACTTCTTGGTTCGATCCTATACTTGGATCGGTAACAAACACGTTCAGAGACAATATTGGTGGAGCCTCCAACGTGGGTATGAATCTAAACCTTTGGATTTATTTTTCTGCAGATTCTTATGAATAAAAAAAAAGACTGTTATTTTCTATGCCCTGATTTTGGGTTCTAGGAACGATCCCTCCTTGGTTCTTGGCGGATTTTATAACTTCTTTGAGTTTAGAGCTTCTAGGAGATGAAGAGAGGAAGAGTTTCTGCATGGAATAGGGAAGGAAATGTGTGAAGAGTTTATGTTCATTAGTGAAGAGAAATTTGTGGCCATTTGGACCGTAGATGACTACAATTTCCTCTCTAAGAATCTTGGTTTTGAAAATATCTGGAGAGTATTTGCTCATTCTATCGAGCACAAACTTCTCTGCCTTTCCAAATGCAATAGTTCACCTATGAGAGGCCATCCGAAACTCCCTGGCGGCAGGTTTTTGTGCCTGGTTTTGAATGAAAAAATGCCAAAAGCAAGAATGAGAAAAAAGAGGAGCTAAATAAAATAAGAAGAGATATGAGAGCTCCACATTGAATGATTTTGAAAAGAGCTCCATATGGGATGACTGGCTAATAAAACAGGAATTAAAGAGACACAAAAGCAAGGAAGAAGAGTAGAAATATGTCTGGTTGTCTTTGTAGAATAGCCGAATGTCCATTTATAGAGATCAGATACATCGTAGTGTCAAATAACATCATTTTTTTTATTTTTTTTGTGACCGGGGTGTTTGGATCAGCTTGCATGTACTTCAACTAATTCTCGAGATCCATCGAACACCTTATATGTTAAATGGGTCAAACAAGTCACAAATGTGATAAGTAACCACTTGTTGGAACTCAAACACAATACTTCTGGGTAACCTAAGGTCTTGTCATCTGGCCACAAACCAAGTGATTTAAAAAAACATATCATTATGCATCAAATTAATAAAATTTGTCTACTCAGATTCAATAAATTATTTTTTTACATGATTTTTGATATAATTTTTTAGTGTTTAGGTTAATGTATTTGAACATTGAAATCACATCTCAATTATTCACAATATATTGATCTAATGACCCAAAATTTGTGTCATATTTTGTGTAAAAGATGTGCCATTGAAACTGCCCCAAATTTATTATATTGATACTTGTTTCAAAAACTAACAATACTGTTGATTATTAGGATAAGAAAAGTTATGGTAACATTTGAATATTATTTCAATACTATCACAGGCTAATATAAATGTCATATATATTTTCAATTTAATTAACAGTCAATTATCATATTAATTTTAAGATAAATAAGATAAAAAAATTCATACGTGATACTGACTATAATAAGGTTAATATGATACTTTTTCGTGATATTTTGAAATTTTCTTACTCGAAATCTGAAGTGGGTAATTTCATTTATAAACTTGTTCCATTAAAGGTAGTAGTTTGTTTAGTGAGTTAAATTTATGCAACAAGAGGAATTGAATTAAATATACCTTTCACCCATTACTAACATTAGGCTAGTAGAAAAGGATAAGCAATTTAATTGAAAATTTAAATGAAATATTTAATTAATTCGTTAGAAACTATTGATCTTATATAATTATAATAAATTTTTATATATTAATTCTTGTTAATAGGAATTTTAATTTTATTATATTAGTAAAGTATTATAATTTATCATTATTAGTAAATCATGTCCCGTGAATTTGGCACTAAACTGGTATTCCATGTTTAATCCTATCAATTCTGAATTTTTCTAGGGGAAATTTCTATAAACCCCCACATGTTTCAAGTATTACATTCTCCTCTACTAGTTTAGAAGATGCGACCATAACCTCCATTTTGTTAAATTTTGCGTTAAAGTTAGCTAAAAGACATGTATAATTGATATTTTCATTTTTAAAGAAGGATATTTTTTACTTACCAGTTTTCCAAGGAAAATCCTAGGTCTTTTTTTTCTCTCTCTCATTTTCCCCTTTCTTTTCTTTTCTCTCTTTCGCTCCACTGTCTTTCTCCCTATTCTCACCGGCCATCATGAGGCCAAATTAGGCCTCTAACAACTGCTCAAAGACCAAATATTGTCTCTATCGATGCCAAGAGACGAAATCTAATCTCTACCGATGTCAAGAGGCCAAAACTCACCTCTCAACGTCAATAG